AACAGGATAAACCGGTTATAAACCCGGTTTAGTTATCTAACTTCTCTTATTGCTGATTTATCTAGCTCATTTATGTAAACCGGTTTGTTTAAACCATTAGCAACGCTTTATGTAGGCTTAGGCCAGTTTACGAAGAATCAATCAGTGAATTTTTTCCTCTTTCGTCATCTTCTCTCTCTCTAAATTCACATCATCATCTTTATTCATCATCATCTACGGATCCAGATTTCTTAGAGATGACCCTTCTCTTTCTTTGATCATCTCCTAGTGCTGTGATTCTCCATTCTTAGAGCTCACGGAGAGCTCCTAGTCTGGGATTATATCTCATAAGATTTCATCTGTCTCAGCATGAAGCCAAAAAGCATGGAGTTGATTTGTCGCCATGATTTCAAGGTATTCACGAAAGAAGAAAAAGAAAGATCTTAAACAAACTGAGAAGCGAACAAGAAAGTTTCGAGATCAAGGAAGATGAATGAGAGAGAGAGATACAAATAGGCAAGCGTTGGTGGTAATAGAAACAACGAGAGACTAATAACCTATCACTTTATATAATGCTGCTTTTACGATCCCTAATCTTTTTTCTTTTCGGATTTTATTTAGGTTGTTTTCTTTTCTAATATATTTATCTTTCCTTTTTTCTTTTTAAACCTTATCCAAAACGTATCTTTCCTTTGTGAATTTAGATTATAGTGAAAAAAATATAATGCTTAACGATTTCTAATCTTTTTATTTTATTTTTTGAACATCTGGTGACTAAAGGAATGATGGAGAATAATGAATTCTTCTTTATTTTTTAATTTTTTTTTATCATTTACTAGGAATATTATTTTATGTTCATTCCTTACCATTCCTTATTTTAAAAGTAATTATAAAACAAAACTATTTCTTATCAAATTTGAGGAGGAATAAAATATATTTTTTTTTATTTTTTTTTTATTCTCATTTATTTCTATTATTTTGTTCCTTTTATTCTTTTTTTTTTTATTCCTATTGTTCTTTTAATGGTCACCGTTTAGAGCCTACTATCTCTGTTAGGCTTACATTTATTTATTTTATTTTTACTATACTTCTGCCATCCATTATCTTCTGTGTTCTTTCGGTTCTCTCTTTCAGATGATGGGGTTAATTACTATTTAAAAAAAAAATTTGGTAAATGGGGAAAAATTGATATTTTGGTGGTGGTGCTGCTTTTAGTTGACACAGTGAGGATTTTAGCGGTGGGTTCGATAGCAGTCTCGTTTGATGAGCAGATCTCCAAATCACATGGTGTGACCTTGTACCTATGGCTACATGAGAGTTGGCATATTTTCTCCGGTGGCTGTTTCGGAAGAGATTCGCCACGGCGGTGGAACGTTCCAAGACTCGGTGAGAATCGGGGATATGTTTCGCTGTGTCTCGACTGAGATAAGAGCTATTCCTATAGGAGTCTTTTGTAGAGAATCTAGTAATTAAATCAATGAAAAAAATCAAAATGCAAGAGAGAAAAGTAAAAAAACTGTTCTTATTTAAAAACTCTTTTGTAGATACATTTATCTAATTGGTTGATTTTAATTAATGGTTGAGATACTAATTTCTCTAACTAATGGAACTGCTCTAATTATGTTTGACTATATTAATTTTAATCTATATATATAAATTTATTACATAAATAAACAATCTTCTTCGTCGTAATTGTAAGGCTAATATTCTTTAGTGGGACCCACGGAAAAAACTTACCGTTTGGTGGGACCCATGGAAAAAACTTACCGTTTGATTGAATAATTTGCATGTACAATAGCTCTCTCTCGTCTTCTTTTTTTTTCTTTTTGAATATTTGCTTAGCTCTCTCTCGTCTTCTTTTTTTTTCTTTTTGAATATTTGCTTAGCTCTCTCTCTTCTTACTGGTTTGTGTACTTTGTAATCGGATTTAAGATACTTGCAAGTTTAAAGAAGAAGAAAAAGTAGATGTAAATCAAAACGATTAAAAAGTAAAACATATCTGAAGATGTATATATATACTTTCACACTGTTGAGTATCTAAAAAAGCAAGTTGCATTAATAATAATTTAATAGAAAAATAAAAAGCATCACTGCTCAAAATTGAAACAAAGAGAAACCATGAATCTTATAATGATACAATGCTATCGTTGTGTTCTTTGTATTCCAGATAAGAGATTTGCCTCTGTAACTTGATCTGCTCATAGAACTTAGCAATGAACTCATCTGCTCTCGCATCCACCCCTTTCTCTTCTTCCTCATCATCCTTAGCCGTACGATCCCACTCTTCCGTACAAGGTTCATCGTACCCGTACGATCTCACCTCGTCGGAATAATCTTGACCGTCCACTTCAAAGTCATAGCCAAACTCTACGGGAGGATCAATGCAGGGGAGGAGGAACCTCATAGACGTAGGACGATGTATCTTCTTATTGACGTTAAATAACGGCGTTTCATCAAAAGAAAGCTGACGTTCTCCGTAACGAAAGAGATAACGATCACCTTTATTATGACGAGCAAGGTCTTTGAGATGCTTGGAGAACAAGTTACGTAGTTCGAAGAGAGGCCATCTTTTGAAAACTCCACCTTTTCTTCCCCATAGAAAAGCCATCCTCACGAGTCTCCAAGCTTTATGTGCTATTGCGCTTCTACTGATTTTCTTCTGCGATAAATCCGCCATTGATGATTGAAAACTCTGCAAAATATTGATTCTTGGTGGTACTTTGATCTGAGATTTGAGATGGTTTTTTTAAAAAATAAATTAAGCTTTTTTTTTTTCTTGTGTTGCCTCGTTTTGGTTCTTGAAATGATTGTGTGTGTGTATGTATGTAGTGTATATATATAAGTGTGCAACTTTTGCTTGCTGTTTGCAATTTGCCCAACGCGGAGTAACAAATAAAAATAGATTATCACAATTTAAACCCGAAAAGAAAGAAATAGATTATCCTACGTGATTGGCATTTAGTGCAAAAAGTAAGCTATTTTTCTGTCTGATTTTTTTTTATTGAAGTTATTTTTGTAACTGATTTAAGAATTAATTCAATTATATTCAAAAATCTAAATACTTATATATATGCTATTATCAACCTCTTAAACTGTAGAAAAAGCATATAAATTTATTTGTTATATCTGAATAAACATATAAATATTTCTGTCAATTCTTTAAGCAAAGAAAACTTTACAAATAAGTTCATGTGGCCTGTGCGGGTCACGGCTGTACGCGAACAATATCTTAGCTGTTTTAGCCGTTTTGTTTCTCATTTTACCCTTTTTGTTTTATTTCTTTTGTCTGTTATGCTTTTTTATTGAAATACTTATTTGAATTCCTTTAGTGTTTTAATTGCTACTAGTTTCATCCATTCTTGAAATGTGTACTTTTAGATATTGTTTCTATTTTACATTTTAAAACTGAACTTTAGATGTTGTATTTGTGTTAAAAACCTTCTTTTGATAACTCATAAAATTTTCTTGATGCTGCGAAATAAGGAGTATATTAGACAAATTATGACTAAGTAGACAAATTCTTTTTACGAAATGCAATTATGTTTTGAATAAACTATGTACCTAATAATTCCAAGTCTAGACTTAGCTACTAAGTTATTTAAACTGAAGAAGGTTTTATTACATAAAATTTGTAATTACATAAGATGGAACTTTCGTTGTAATTAAACAAAGAGTATGTATAACTGAAAACCAGAGATCTAATTAAACATAAGAGAGAAGGTTAGATTAGTTTAATTTGTGAGTGCCGTTGAATCGTGTTGTTGCGGCTGTCTCCTTATTATAGTTTCTAGTTTCCACGAAACCGATGTTCCATTTCCAGATACTGTAACGTGCTTTCTTTGTCGGATCTCATGACATATATAGATTAAATATATATATATATATATATCTTCTTGTAAATTAATATATTGTAATATATATTGTTTTCTCTAAATTTTAGAACAACGATATATAATATAGACAACAAAAAAAGAACAACAATAATGTTAATAAAGATAAAACAATTTTCATGTAAATTATAGTTTTAAAATGCGGGCCAATAGTATATGTTTTTGCACCGCCAAAAACGTATTTACTGTTGTTGACTCTTACAAATTACAATAAACACAACACATCCTGGGTTGATGTTACTCTACATCCATGTGTAGTTGTAGACCAATCGTGTAAGTTGATGTTATATATTTTGGGCTTGTTGTTATGTTGATATGTGCTGAGGTTTTTTCTTTCATATGAAACATTTGAAACGTACGTAAGAAACAATATTTCGGTGGATTTTATGAACAAGGGTTTCAAAGATTCCGGGGTAAATACCGTAATAATCCGACCAACTTAAGGAAAAATTCAAATGTGTATAGAATTGATATATGTATGTCTAAATTTAACAGAACTTAGTGCCATTTTTGCATGGAGCCATGTTTTGAGGCTATTCCTTCGTGCAAGTAACTTAAGGTTCCTTCATTAGTTTCATTATTGTATGTTCTATAGATCTTTCAATTATTAGTCATTTCTTCCTAACCCAATTGGTCATAAAATGTTAATTATAATTTATCAAGGAAAAATAACAAAATCAAAGAAGTGTTTATAAAGTAATTCTTGGAAGCAATAACTAATTCAATTACGAAAATAATTAGTAGTATTAATTAATTGTGTTTGGTTGTCTTTCTTTTCTTTTAACTTCTTCTTCCCGTAACAACCGCATGAAGAGCGCGGTGTCTTTTCTAGTTATGACGTGAAAGCTCTCAAGTCTTAAAGAGACAGCTTTTACTTCCACCGTTTAAACCCAAAACTCTTCAACACTTATACTTTTCACCCCAAATATTTGTAGAATGTCAAATTACTCCATTCTACCTATTTTCATATAAATATAGAGACATAAAAATCTTTTTCTTCCTTGGGATCTTCTTCCAAAACATCTTTTCCCTGCTCATTGCAGGGAAAGCCCCCTCCCCCATCTTGAATCTCTTCTGCTCGCCATTAATCCTTATACATGGAAATTAAACATGGGATTAATGGTGGCGAAGAAGAGATCAAGAATAGGATGAAGAAGAAACGACCACGTGGCATGCACGTGATCGGTGTGGTTATATACATGCTTCGCCGTCGTCGGAGGAGAAAGCCACTTAATAACGGGTTTTGGCGGCGAGTTGTCGAGTCTTTTCGGCAGTTGAAAAACGATAGTATTACGGTACCGCCATCGTCTAATATTATGATACTGCCATCATCTTCACCGGTGAAGGAGGAAGCTCCGGTGAGTAGTGACGATCAGCTATCAGAGATGGTAGAGGTTTTTACTGCGACGTCTTCTTCTTCTTCCTCTTCGGGAATCTCCGGATATGGATCGGCAAAGTCGTTGCGTGATATGGATGGTCTTGATGAAGATGATGATGGTTATGATGATGATGACGATGATGATGAATGTTATGGTGATGGTGATGAAGGTGATGAGATGATTGACGTGAAAGCGGAGGAGTTTATTGTGAGGTTTTACGAGCAAATGAGGATGCAGAATCAGGCTTATACAGAACGTTACAAATTAAGCCAAAGGGACGATTATGAGTTGAAGACGGTCTAGAGTTTGAACCATAGTATATGACATGAATGTATGATTATATATGGATGGAGATATGCATGTTTACTAAATTTAAAAAAAGGTTTTATAGCTTCTAAACATTTAATTTAAGTTAAGGAAAAAATAATATTTATTTATTTTGGAATTTAATTAGTCTCTTGAGTGTGTTTTTTTTTTCTATTAGAATGATGAATTTGTACCATGTTTACAATGATGAAACTCTGTATTTATCAATTATGAAATATACATCAATTTTGTTTCCTATCGATCAAGAGTCAAGTTTTTAAGTTTCGAAGTTAGGATTTGTTTGGGCCGAATTTGTCCTGATCGGAATATTTAGTTTGGGCTTCAAAGGCCATTTGAACATTTTATACCCCCTGGAGAAAATTAAGGAAAAAATTTTAAGTGAATCGATAAATTACTAATTAGTTCACGTTCACCTACGAAAGCAGAGAGACGTTTTTTTTTTTTTTTTTTGGGGCTAATAAGCAGAGAGACGTTAAGATTCAAAAATTCAAAAAAGGAAAATGGCATGGCAATTTCGTAGTTAATACTAAGATTTAGGGCCAGATTTGGATTAACACTCCTCTCCTAATTATATACTCGCATCAACTCCAAAACCCCAAATACTTTTTGTACTCTTCATCTTCTCGGGAGCAAAATTCATCGATCGAAACTCGTGTTGATCTTCCCGATTGCTGATTCTTCCGATTCCAAATCGATCAAGTGCCGATGTCTCTCAGGCCTAGCGCAAAGACGGAGGTCCGACGGAATCGGTACAAAGTGTCGGTCGATGCGGAGGAGGGACGGCGGAGGCGAGAGGATCACATGGTTGAGATCAGGAAGAACAAGAGGGAGGAAAATCTGCAGAAGAAGAGACGCGAGGGGATCTCCGCTTCACCGGCTTTCGGCTCGGATTCGGCTGAAACGGGACACGATCTTTCTTCAACGAACAATGTATGTGCTTCTTCTCCGTGTCTCGCGATTTTCTTTTAGTTTGTTCAATCAGATCAGATCGCACCCTGCTTTGCAGATCGATTTCTTGGTTTAACGTATCTTGAATTTATGCGATGTTTGTGTATTCTTGGGTGAGAGCATCGTGTGATTTGTTTATCCTGTATATCTGGAATTGATGGTACCATTTTCACCGAGATCATCTTGTTTCAGCATTACTGACATGTATCTTGAAATCTTGAGTATCAGATTTTAAAAGCTTACAAGGTTTCTCTGTACTGCAGCTAATGAAAAGTCTACCGGATATGGTTGCTGGAATCTGGTCAGAGGATAGCAAGTCACAAGTGGAGGCAACTAATCTCTTGCGGAAACTGCTTTCGATTGGTTTGTGAACTTTAATCATTAGTATATATAATAATCAGTGTTTTGGTTAGGGGCATTTAGCAATTGTATTTTGCATTTTTTTTTGTTTGGCAGAACAAAATCCTCCTATCAATGTTGTTGTAGAGTCTGGCGTTGTTCCTCGCGTTGTGAAGTTTCTTTCGAGAGATGACTTACCCAAACTTCAGGTGAGAGGCAGTTGCAACTCGTTTCATTATGTGTAATTTTCGAGTTTTGATATGTTTGTTAACATGTTTTTTTTTGCCGTTCGTGTTAAGTTTGAGGCAGCTTGGGCGCTCACCAACATTGCTTCAGGGACATCAGAGAACACAAATGTCATCATTGAAAGTGGTGCTGTCCCGATGTTCATCCATCTTCTCAGCTCGGCTAGTGAGGATGTCCGGGAACAGGTATATGTTTTCACTGTCATCATTTTGTTTCTTTAGACACCTTATGAAATTAAGTGAGATTGTTACAATTTTTGAGCTCTGTTGATTCCCCTAAAATATAGGCTGTTTGGGCGTTGGGGAATGTTGCTGGAGACTCGCCAAGTTGTCGTAATCTTGTACTAGATTATGATGCCATGATGCCTCTTCTGTCTCAATTCAATGAGAACACTAAGCTCTCAATGCTCAGGAATGCTACATGGACCTTATCAAACTTCTGCAGAGGGAAACCACCGCCTCTGTTTGAAAAGGTTCTCCTTCAAGATTGTACACACAGTAGAGTAAACCAAATTTGAAGTCTCCATAGTAGTTTCTAACATGTTTCTGGTATGTTGTTTCTGTGCATTTTGAGCAGATGAAACCAGCTTTACCAGTTCTTGAGCGCCTTGTGCAAACAACAGATGAAGAAGTTCTCACAGATGCATGTTGGTCTCTGTCATACCTCTCAGATGATTCGAACGACAAAATACAAGCGGTTATCGATGCAGGCGTTCTCCCTCGCCTCGTCGAGCTCTTAGCGTGAGTATCTGATTTATGATTTTAGTTTTTGATGTGGGTTCACTTTATCTGAATGCTTCTCTCTTACTCCTTCTTCCACTTCTTAGTCACCCGTCGCCACCGGTGCTGATTCCTGCTCTTCGTACCATTGGAAATATTGTAACCGGCGATGATCTACAGACTCAGGTGCGTATATACTACATCCACGATTCTACTTGTGAGTTTTGTTGAAAAACATGTCTCTAGCTAACTTGTTTCTCCTAACAGATGGTTCTCGACCATCAAGTGCTTCCTCGTCTTTTGAACCTTTTAACAAAGTCTTACAAGAAGAGTATCAAGAAGGAAGCTTGCTGGACTATCTCAAACATCACAGCTGGGAGTAAAAATCAGATACAGGTGAGTTTTATTTGTATATGGCATTTCAACAACAAAGCCGATAGGTGAAGCTTTTCGCGTAATGTCTCATCCGAATGTGCAGGCAGTGATTGAAGCAGGTTTGATTCAGTCTCTGGTTTGGCTGCTCCATAGCGCAGAGTTTGAAGTAAAAAAAGAAGCTGCTTGGGGAATCTCGAATGCTACTTCTGGTGGCACTCATGATCAAATCAAGTAAAACAAACAAAAGTCGAAGTGTTATATGTTCGTTTTACATAACGAAAGTTCATTTCTAATAGAAAGATGCTTTGTTTTAGATTTATGGTGAGCCAAGGCTGTATCAAACCGCTATGCGATCTTCTTACCTGCCCAGATCCAAGAATCGTATCGGTTTGCTTAGAATCGCTGGAGAACATTCTTGTGGTTGGAGAAGCAGAGAAGAACTTGGGTCACACAGAAGACGGTAATAACCTCTATGCTTCGATGATAGATGAAGCAGAAGGAGTTGAGAAGATTGAGAATCTGCAGAGCCACGACAACAACGACATATACCAAAAGGCCGTGAAAATCTTGCAAACCTTTTGGACTGAAGACGATGGAGAAGAAGAAGGCAACGATGAAAACCACGCTCCGCAATCCGGTTTCCAGTTCGGAAGCACTCAAGTTCCTCCTCGTCAGTTCAACTTTATTTGAAAGGTATGAAAGATGATGAATTTTGAGTTACGTAATAGTTTGCTGGGACTTTCTAAGTTAGTATGGTATATTGTAATACCATTTGCAGGACAATATCGAAAGGTGCTAACGTGAAGTAAGTCAAGTAGAAGAAAGAAATCTTCTCTCTTGTTTTTCTCTCCATGGCCACTCCTCACAACTCGTTTTCTATTTTGAAGTTTGTCTTGTGTTTTTGGGGAAGAGAAACAATAATGTTGGGTGTTTTTTTCAATAACGAATCTCTTTATATCACGAGTGGAAACAAAAGTTTATTTGTTTGCTCTGTTCTTGAAGCACGTAATCAATGGGTAAATCATTTTGACCCCAAATTTTACAAAACATGGTAAGCTTGAATAGGTCTTAGATTCTAAACAAGAGCAATTTTTTGAGCAACGGTCGAACTTTAAGAGAAATGCACTTTGATTTGGCCTAAAAATAGGATTTAGATTTGTGGGAGTTAAAGAGGTTATTATCACATGGTCCATAGTTTATTTCTGCGAGAGACTAGGGTTTAACGTTAGTGATTTTTTCGTGTATTTAAAAAAAAAGACAGCCCCTCCTTATTGTTTGTAATTTATCCACCCAGACAAGAACATAGCCAGTTATAATGCTGTCTTCAAGAGCTTTTAATGCAGCGGCACGTCCGTCTCTCGGTCGTCGTCTTCTCGCCAAGAGACTAGCTTCTTCTGGTCGAACCGCTGATCCAAAGATTCATGCTCGTAACGATGGAGACGAGCCTAGTCTTTTCCCATCAGACCCTGAAGTATCATCGATCTTTTTACATACTTTAACTCTTCTTCTATCTCATTAGTTATATTTTGATTCGATAATACAACATATCAAAAAAAAAATTTTGTTATCAATCATGCTTTAAAATAAATAGGTAGGTCCCAATAAAAACATACATATACTGACGTGACCAGGCAGATTCTTAATTGTGATATGTTTTTTGTCAACTTGTAGGGATTGGATGATGTGGCGAATCCTAAGACTCCGGCGGATGAGGATGTACCGGAGATTCGACCACCCGGTTTTGAAAAGGAACCGCTTAAGCCTCCGAAAAATCCACGAGCTACTTCACACAAGCTTGAGTCTACTCCTGTTGGTCTACCCGCAGATCCCAATCTCCAACAGAAACGAAATTAAGAGCAGCAAACGCTTTAGCCGCTGCAACCGCCGCTTTGACCGCCTAGATTTGTAAACTGAAGGCAGAAATGTGTACTTTTTGATCCTTAAGTCACAAAAAAATGTTTACTTTTGATTAGCTCTGAGAATAATAATAATAAAAAAATAACTCGGTTCTTTGTTTCTTTTTCTTGGGATTCAAGAAACTTGCTATATTTACCAAATTTGTTATGTCCTCGTATTTTGAGTTTATGTGATCTATTAGAGGTTTAGCCCAATAGAGTTGGTTCGAGCATAGTTGACGATGAGAGTGTTTTCACATGGTCCAAAAAGGGTTTCAATTTGGTTCTTCACCAATATTCCTTCTGTGCTATTCCCACAAGCTGTAAATTTTAAAGAGAATCACATTCCAAAGTTGATATTGATGAGGTTCAAATAAAAGAAAAATACATTTACATTTTAATAAAATCACAAGACTATTGTGTTCTCTCTTTCTTCCACCTTCTGAAAAGCTACTTTTAGAATCATCTCATAAAACAAAATGTGTTAATTTGGAAACTGATGGACAACAACGAAATCGTCATTTTAGTTTCGTAATCGTTCATTTAATAACAGATTACGATCAAACTCTTTTTGTTGGCTCTGCAACATAATTTTATAACTGTTGTTGATCGCTAACGTGGACAACAACTAGACGAGTAGAGTAGCCCACCGTCAAAACTTAAATTATGAAACAAAACTCGTAAAATATTCACATAAATATTTCTTACATTATAATATCATTTCTGTATAGGTAGCTAGAAGATTACATACTATATGTGCAGTTAATATTCTAGAGTCTTATTTTGTCTAACATTGATCTCAATTCTCAATTGAATAAAAGAATTGGTCTCGAGCTTTTATCATAACAATAGCACTTGAATAGTCCTTTAAAACTTGATCATAGGTTCCGTCTTAATCTCATTTATTGAATGAAAGAAAATGAGTCGGGTCCCACGAGACAGGAACTGAGTGAGATTCCGAGTCAGGACCCGAACGATGGTCGTGGAAGCCAGCCTGGTCTGAATTGTAATGGGCCTATGTGGTTCTGAAGCGTAGACCGTACGGACTGTTTACCATGTGCTTTAAAAAATAAAAACAACACATTTCACAATGTAGTTTTTTTTTTCTATAAAAAATTTCAAAATCAAACCGTAGGCTTATTGTTTTTTGGATCTATTGCTATTGATTTTCATTTAATAAGTAACAGTACTTGATTGCTTTTATTTTGTTGGATTTGACATGGACACGTGGTGAATTCTTAATGGTGGTTTTGATGAAATTTTAGAGAACGGAAAAAATGTTTAAAATTTCTCTTTAAGGGTACGTTAACGTACGTGTTAGATTTTAGCAAAGGAAAATTTAAGATTCGCATTGGCCGTGTCGCTTGTGTCAGACTTAACGACATAGATAAAACGGGCCCACAGTGAAGATTTTTTTAAGTGATGTTAAAAAAAAAAACTTAACTAACTAATTTATTTTGTGAATGAATTAATTGTGAAGTTTACTGTCTTGATATAGTTATGTAGCAAGAAGACACTGCGAGATAACTAAAGTGATATTCTTAAAAACTTTTTTGTAAATAAATGAACCATAAAATTATGTAATTGATAAAACATTGTGGAATCATTAAATAACTTTGTCGTTTTGTTAATAACCTCTGTATCTGTTTTTAACTTTTTACAGTGTTTAGATTTATACTTTATTTATACTTTTTTCAAAACTTTTTATTAGTTTTTTTGGATAAAATTACTTTCTGTTCTATCTATAGTAAATTTTAGGATTTAACAGAATCCACTATATTTAGAGATGCATTCATGGAGAATCACTCCAAAACAATTACGTACTCAATTTTAGCTAATTAATAACAATTTTTTTATTATGAAATATTGACAACTTACTTGATAGATCGCATGCAAAGGTAAAAGATATTTATTTTGTTATTTCTTAACCAAAAACTTAACTACTACTTGTGAAATTGTAACCAAGATTCTATTTACATCTTTGAATGTTTATTCTATCCATTAATATTCAAAATCTCTGTATAGAATATAATATTGGAGAGATATAAATTCAGTTTTTGTGCAAAATAAAAAATACTTATTGTTACTTTTTTGAGAGTTTGTATATTCTTTATTAAACCAACTTATAATAAATTTTAATATAAAACCAAATTATCTCTTTCATTTTTTAAAATTTTATTTTTGGAACTTTTTAATATAAATTATGAAAAATTATAAAATTATTTTAATAAATAAATTAACTATTTCACAAAGATTCACTATAAATATATAGATTTATCATATATGTTATATCTGTTTCTTTCTTATCTATTTACCTACCTATTGGAAATTAAAATATAGACCGTTTAGTAAGGGTGGGCACAAAAACTATAACCAAAAAAATTAAACCATACCGAACCGAAAAAAGTGATATGGTTTGGTTATGATTAAACTTAAAAATCCATTTGACCATCATTTTTTTATAGCTTTGGTTTAGGTTTGGTTTGGTTAAAAACTGTCAAACCAAAAGGTTTTTTCGGTTTTTAAAATATAATATTTATAAAAGAACTCTACATAAAAATAATAAAGTAAACCTTAATTTTTCAATAAAAAATAACGTGATTAACTATTTTCTTTTCACATTCAAATTTTCTAGTTCTAGTTTCAAGATTATAGCCTTATAGGTATTAAATTTTAATATAAATTTGTTTATTATTTTATAATTATTGATTATGAAAAAATTAATAATTTATTTGTTTTTCTGTTTTGAAATATGTCGTTATTGATGATTTTTTTATGATTTAGATTCTATTTTTTTAATTTATTATTTTATTTCACTCATATCTATTATTATTATTTCTATTAGTTTGAATCAAAAAATTTCGTAAAAATTTAATTCTAAAAAAACCAAAACCAAACCATAATAAACCGAACCGTAAAAACTCAAACCATACCGAACCAAAATATATATAACTTTTATATGGTTTGAATTTTTGTAAAACCGATAAATCGTAAAACCGAAGAAACCGAATCGAAATCAAACCAAAAACTGAAATGCCCACCCCTACCGTTTAGTATAAAAATATTAATGAATTCTTAATCAACCACTGGACTAAATAGACTTCTATACAGTTTATATATTCAATCTATAGTTATAGTTGTAATAATAACAAAAATTAGAATAGAAGACAGACAATGACAACTGGTCTTTTTCTCTGTAATCGTTGCACTTACACAAATATCACTTGTTTTCATATTAAATGTTTTAAAATATCACACTTGACACAAATAAATAATGAGAGTAATAAAGCTTAATTAAAATATACGAGTAATAATTACAAATACTGATGCAAAATACAATAAATAAAATACTTACAAAAATGTTGCATTCACACTCTTCACTGGTTTATATTTATAGTAAGAGATATATATTAGAAAGATTTAATTAAACCATCTTTCTCTCTCTCATCGTCGTCGTCTTCTTCACCTGCGAGCTCCGAGCAGAGAAAGAGAGAAGGAGAGAAGGACAGAAGGAGAGAAGGAAAGTTTTAGAGTGCACTGTGCGGCGCGCGGTGCTTCTCTGGTTTCTTATCCTGTGTTCGTCTTATCCCGCGCCTCTCCGCCTAGTTTCGGTCTCATGGACGCTTTCTTCTCCTTCTCTCTCCAAAGAAAAGAGCTCTTGTGGTTGTTTTAAAAGGATAAATTCTTGAGTTTCGTCGCTTCTGCATTGAAAAGTCGCGTGGTTTCTCTTTTGGGTGTATTTCGTTGATTTCGATTCGGATTTTGGGGAATTAATTAGTTCTCGAAATGCTTTGGATTACGAGATTTTCTGGATTTTTCTCCGCGGCGATGGCAGTGATCGTCTTATCTCCGTCGCTTCAGTCGTTTCCTCCGGCGGCGGCGATCCGATCGTCGCATCTCGACGCTTACCACCGACCGCCGCCATCGGATCGGAGTTTGTTATCGTCCTTCAGAAAATCTCCCGTGTTTCGCAATGCCGACGAATGTGTGTCCTCCGGCGCAGATTCCGGGGTCTGCAACCCCTCTTTGGTCCACGTGGCGATCACACTCGACGTCGAGTACCTCCGTGGCTCAATCGCAGCCGTCAAATCCATCCTTGAGCACTCGATGTGCCCCGAGAGCGTCTTCTTCCACTTCATCGTCTCCGAGACGAATCTAGCGTCTCTGGTGAGATCGACTTTCCCGGAATTAAAATTCAATGTTTACTATTTTGCCCCTGAGACCGTTCGTGGTTTGATTTCTTTCTCCGTGAGACAAGCTCTGGAGCAGCCGTTGAATTACGCCAGGAATTACCTCGCGGATCTGCTCGAGCCCTGCGTGAACCGGGTCATATACTTGGATTCGGATCTCGTCGTCGTCGACGACATCGCGAAGCTCTGGAAAACCGGTCTGGGCTCGAGGATAATCGGAGCTCCGGAGTACTGCCACGCGAATTTCACCAAGTACTTCACCGGAGGATTCTGGTCGGACGAGAGATTCTCCGGCACGTTTCGAGGGAGGAACCCTTGCTACTTCAACACAGGGGTGATGGTGATAGATCTAAAGAGATGGAGACGAGCTGGGTACACGAAACGCATCGAGAAATGGATGGAGATCCAGAAGACCGAGAGGATCTACGAGCTCGGCTCGCTCCCGCCGTTTCTTCTCGTGTTCGCCGGCCACGTGGCGCCGATTTCGCACCGGTGGAACCAGCACGGTCTCGGTGGGGACAACGTTAGAGGTAGCTGTCGTGATTTGCATCCTGGTCCGGTGAGCTTGCTCCATTGGTCCGGTAGTGGCAAGCCATGGTTAAGACTCGATTCCAAACGTCCCTGTCCTCTAGACGCTCTATGGACGCCTTACGACTTGTATCGACTCTCGCATTGACGCCGGTTTTTTTCGCCGTCGCCGGGTAATAATTCTCAACACAAACTCTGTTTTTTTTCTTTTTCTTTTTCAGTTTAATTTAGTAGCTACTTCTATGTTTGTTCGTTCATCAGTAGTTGAACCACTAGTCACTGACTTCAAATTCTTGAAAAACCTGCTCTTTGTTACTTTGAGAGGATGTGATTGCCTTTTTTTTTTCTTTCCTAACTTTGAGCACATGTGAAGCTGAACTAACCCCATTTCTGGCTATGGCATCATAGAATCTTGCAGTGAAGCTCTAGATTGTTTGCAAGATTAGAATGTCTCTTGTTTTGTCTAAGTTGATGCACCATTGTTCTTGTGTCGGTGGATGTGATGTGCACAGTGTGTGCCACTAGGTAGGTTGTCTTCATCAGATGGCAAATGAGTGGCTCTTACTAGGGTCTGATGAACATTGTGGCAGTCATCTTTAGTCTCATCCGGGTTCAAGGTGACGACTGTCTAGTGTCTGGCGAGTGAAAGACTTAAAGTTTGTGCTTGTTAGTGTCACATCTTTGTTTAAGAGAGGTGTGTTTAACTACTAATTAGATAAAACCTTAAGAGTAAATAGAGAGAGACGTGTGAACAACATTCTATTCAACATCACTATTAACACAGCTAATTAGAGTTCCAAGAACTGGACTCTTTGTTCTTGTTTTGGTATATAAAAAATATGTGTGACCCCACCTTCTCTTTTGTTCTTTATAAAAATGTCGAAAAGCAAAGGGGACCGATTCTTTTCGGACCCCATTGTTGGTGACAATAGCTCTTAGAATGATAGAATCCAACCATTGATTGGCTTGAGCCAGCTGGTTAATGTTCTAATCACATGTGGGTCTGATTCTGATCATCAGATTTTTTTTTTCCTTTTTGCTGTCCAAAGTATCTGATCATTCATATCTATTTTTGTAATGTCTTAAATAAAAGAAATGTAATTGTACCTCTTGATTGTTTTAAAGCAGCCATTGGTGCTATATGAGGAGAGTAGAGGAGGTTCATTGATCTTGACCGGTTCGGTTTGGAAGAAAATCAAAGGTAGATTTTGTTGTAGAAGAAGAAAACCCTTGCCGGTAAAATGGGTTATGGTTAGAGGGAGGTTTAGCTAAACCGGAGACACAATTTGAGATGTGGGAACAATTTTATTTTTAATGTGTGTGGTTTGCCGGCGGGTTGGATCATTTTTGTTGGGGGAGATAAAACGGAGTTAGGTTATTCATGTGGATGAGATTTTGTTGTTTTTATCATTAAATTATTTTTCAAATTGGTATATTGTGCAGATACTTCTTCATACTTATATTAGTGTCCCCCTCTCATTAAAAAAAGAACACAAAGTAGAGAGATTGATTTGGTTAATGGCTTGTGCTCCTCTTGTTGCCTCAGTTACACATGGCATGTTCCCCGAAGTATATATTATTCCTCTATTAGTGTCGGTCCAAATGAGTAAATAAATTTGTCTTAATAAAAATATATTCTCATTTCATAATAAAAATTGAGATATTTTGTTGCATTTAAAAAAATTAAATGAAATTGCACTGTCTTTTGTTTATTATTGTGTCACCTTGTCAGTGAATAAGAAATCTTACTTACCTTTAATTTAAGGCTTGTTATATAAATGACAAAGAAACAAATGTCAACAGGAAACTCTTATTTACAAAAATGACGGTGAAGAGGAGAGCCTCTCGGCTTAATTTCTTGAATGAGTCTGAAGAAGCTTACTCGCAGCCAATATAAAGCCTGTCAAATTCCCATTAAAAGCCAAATGAGTTTTAAAACATAAATGTGTGTCTGAGAATTGAGAAGAACAAGACTTGCCTAGAAACAGAGGAGAAGGTCTGGTGGGTCTTGACTTAAACTCTGGATGAAACTGAACTCCAACATAGAAGGGATGATCATGAAACTCAATCACCTGTTGAAACAAAAACAGATTTTTGCAGAGAGAGACCAAACCAGACTAGAGCAAAAAACGATTCTGACTATTGATGTCTTTCTTTTTTTTTCTTCTATATATAATACCTCAACTCGTTTCCCTGTATCATCTTTGCCCACAAGTCTTAAACCAGCTTCTTCAAGTACTTGAGCTACATCTGGATTCACCTCGTAACGGTGCCTATGCCTTTCGTCTACATAGCAAACGTCGCCGTATCTGGTAACAGAAGGTTGTCTTCAAAGCATGAACTAAAAACTTACAAGAAAACGGCGAAGGTAAATGCATTTTATGCTTACAGTTTTGAAGTGAGAGAGTCAGGGCTCTGTAAATGTGTTCTTCGGGATCCTAGTCTCATAGTACTTCCCATATGCGTTCTTGAGCCCTGTGGTAATATATAATTGAGTGAGAGGATGAGCTTGAGTCCATTGATAGGTTTTCATGTACGGAATACATACCTCTGGCATGAATATAACAACGGGGTCAGGTGTCTGAGCATCGAACTCGGTGCTATTTGCTCTTTCCAAACCCAAAACCTGAAACCATTGTCAGCGATTAAGAAGAAGAAGAAGAAGAGAGAGAGCTAAACTGGTTTTAGGGAGGGAAATGGAACACAGCAAGTTATTTCAGAGTTTGAATGAAGTTTCTTACAGTTCTGGCAAACTCAATTACTGCTATTTGCATCCCCAAGCAGATGCCAAGATAAGGAATTTTGTTCTCTCTGGCGTATTTTGCTGCTAAAACCATTCCGCTCACGCCACGATCTCCAAAACCACCAGGAACCAGAATGCATTCTGCGCTCTGCAAATAAAGAAAGAGGAAAACAGAGACTATATTGTCGTCGGCAAAGAATGTCTCATTTTTCCAGAGAAGAGGAGAGGCTATGAACTAAATCGAAACAGAGGAAGCTGAAACAGAAGTTCTCACCTTCAAAATCTTCCAAGCAGCAGCATGTGCTTCCGGAGTCTGCAAAGGACAAAGCGATGCTTAAAAGGAAAACAGTGGTAGAGTATACACAGCATAAAACTCTTGATCAGAAAGATGAAAGTCATTAATGGTATGTATTACCGATTTTTCGCTTTCGTCTTCAAGATCTGAAGCTGCAATCCATTCGATATGTGGCTTCAATGAACATGCAATGCAGGCATGAAGAAGGGCCTGCGGCGAAGAGGAAAAAATATGAAAGAGAAAGAAAAGCAAACCAAATACGAGAGTAATTCAATTTGTATAAAAACTCAAATCTTTTTATTCCAAGTTTACCTTAACAACTGACAAATAAGAATCCGTTAGACCAACGTACTTTCCAACCATAGCAATGTTAACCTGTGCATAACAGAGGGATGGTCTCTTTGAATAAGAAAATCAAAAGGCTCCAACACAAAGTGTGCTGGCCAGAAAATGCTCACATGATCGGTCAAGTTATCAAAAGTCTCAGCCATCGTAGTCCAGCTATCCAGATCAGGTGCTGTTGCAACACTGAAAGACAATTGAGTTTTGTGGAATTTTGTGTTACGCTTAAACTGTTCACTTGTGACATCGAAGCAATGGACACCACAAGAAATACAATACCTGGTTAGATTCAGTTGTTTGAGAATCGAGTGATGAGCGTTTTGGTTCTGTAGCAGGAGCACACATGAACAAAGTACTTCATTAACAAAACAAATATTTCAACTTCCAAAAGAAGCATCCAGCTTACTCGGAGTAGGAGAGGAACATGCCAAATGTTTGGAACATCATGGATATTGAGGATATTAGCAGCCTGAAAGAAAAAAAAAACTCAACAAGTGATATAAAATCCTAGCTTCATAAGATACACATCAGTTAAGTAAATCCACAACGTAGACTTCAGACAAGTTATACCGCAACATGACAAAACTGAGACAATTTTGCCTTTGTAGCTTCCAGTAGTGGCTGGAGTGGAAACAAAAAAAAGTAAAGGCATGTCAAGACTCTGCAGTAACTGAGAGAGGTCATACTTTTCCAAAGGTATTCAAGTTAAGATTTTGAAAAGCGATACCTGAGCAGAGCGACACGCCAAAAAGTGAGGTGTCAATCCCAAAGCCCTTAGTTCTCGGACACTGTGTTGGGTTGGCTTTGTTTTCTGCATGAAGAAACAGATACAAAGTTGAGTCCGGGATACAAAGTAGAGTTACAGTGCTTCAGCACATGTCTAACTAGGTAAGGAAAAGGTCTTTACCTGCTCCCCAACAACACCCAGAACAGGAATCAAGCTCACATGAATAAGGCAGAAATTTTCTTGCCCTATGAAGCGAAAGAGGAAGGAACATCAATAAGAGAGGGAGAGAGAGCCACTGAAAGAAAAGCCCAGAGGAAGAGGATGCACAGGCTTACCAACCGAGAATGACAACTGTCTCAAGGCCTCCATAAAAGGCATTGATTCTATGTCACCTATATCATAAGCGGTAAATGTAATGTAAGTAAGTAAATTAAAAAGCAGATGTAATTTAGCATCAGCAATAATAGCTCTTTACCAACAGTCCCTCCCAACTCAATAACACAAACATCGGCTTCGTCTTCCTTTCCATCCACAGGAATAAGAGAGACTGACTCAATCCAGTTCTTGATTGCATCTGTGATGTGTGGAACGACCTAAAAGCAGATTTCGAGAAGAAAAACATAAGAAGCTAACTACAAAAACCAAAAACAGAAGCTCCCACACAAAACCTTTTACCTGAACAGTCTTCCCTAAGTAGTCGCCTTTTCGTTCCTTGTCAAGAACAGACTAGTGAGAGAAGAGGCGAAAACGTTAATCATATAGCCAAGATAAAAAAACCGCCGGTTAAACATTACAAAACCAGTGTACCTGATATATCTTCCCAGTGGTTATGTTGTTGTCTTTGGTTAGAGTCACATCGAGAAATCTTTCGTAGTTCCCCAAATCAAGATCGACCTTTTAAACCATTTCATTAGCAAGAAGATGTTTTTATGAGGCAGCAAAAAGCGTAAAGAGGATTCAAAGCAAGGAAACGTGAGAAGAAAACCTCTCCACCATCATCGAGTACAAAAACCTCTCCATGCTCAAAAGGGGACATAGTACCGGCATCAGTGTTCAAATACGGATCTGTAACCAAGTCAAGATCAAACAAATATAACAAGAAGGCACAAACTTTATCGGGTTTCCTGTAAACTGTTACTATTTCTAAGTCAAAAGGATTTCCTTTTTTGCTGATATATGAAATGAGAAATTCCAAACTCCAGAGAGAAGAGATCGTTACCAATTTTAATGGAGGTAACTCGAAGGCTACAAGCCTTTAGCACGACGCCGATGCTACTGGCGGTAACGCCTTTGCCAAGCCCACTCACCACTCCTCCAGTCACCAAGACGTACTTCATCCCCTCCGATTACTCAATTCGCCCTGATCGGAAATTCCCAAACTTTACACAGCCACTCCATACGCGGACAGGAACAACTGGAACCATCCAATAGCAAGCTCCCACGTGTCCCTGACATTTTGTTGTTGTTGCTTAAATGATCTCTTTTTTTAATATGTTTAATCAAAAACTTTTCGATCCAAAATTAAACTTCCCCTGACATGGGGTTTTAAGTTGTTTTTTTTTTATATACAAAAGCACATAGTCATTGAATGTAATGATATCTTTACAGGTTTTGAATTTGTCCTTTTTAAAGTTTATTTTCTCTTTTTATCCGTTTAGTTTTTAAATGTTATATTTTAAAAATATTTAAGTTTTAATTAGTCTTTAAATTAAATAAATTTCAGTAGATATTAGAAAATTATTATAATTTGCTATTAAAATCAAAATGTAATTTTATTTCATTTTCATTATCATATTTTTTTTTTTTTGTCGAAACAATAGATTTGATTTATCGAAAATTGTTATAAAATATACAGAGAGTTGGTTAAGGCAGAAAATTATAGTTAAAAATAAAATGTACATTAACTAGACCATATTTAGTTATCTGGTGGACCCTTAAATTACATTCATGTCTGACATAATCTAGTTGAATAGAAGGTATTTTATGCATCATTTTCATTATCATATATAATTATTATTTTTTGCTAAAAACTTTAAAACTTGCTAAAAAATTCACTATTTAAAATAATATATATATTTGAATTATAGATGTATCCCGTTTAAATTATATGATGATGATAGATATGATCAATCATTACAATAAGTGGAGTAGGTATAGATTTGGGCTAATCTTTGTGATCCATTTTTTTAATCTTCTATGGAGTGCGAATTAATATTATGAATTACGGCCCATTGGGCTTTAACATAAATTTTCTCATTTACAAACATTTTTCACGATTTGTTTCGTTTGTAAAGTAAGAAGCTTGAAAGTTCTCTGGTTATTGAAAAATCACATCCATAACCACTTTATAGATTCTTGATGGGGTCGGAATCGCGATCGGCGCCGATATCAGTTTCGTCGCCGGCTTCGTCTTCATCGCCGAGCGGGAAACGAACCAGAGATCCGGAAGACGAGGTGTATCTGGATAACCTTCGCTCCCAGAAACGGTATCTTAGCGAGGTACGTCTTTGCTTTTAGATTTCCCCAATTTCTGGTCCGTTTGGCTCTGTAACTCAATTGCTTGCCCTTGGTTCTTCTGGATTTATACAAAATCGCTATCTTATGGATTCTATAGTGTTTTTGTTTTGTTTTGGAGTATGCAACTTTGGTTTGGTGTTTGATACCGTCTTTTAGAGATTTCTCTGATCATCTTCCTCGTAGATAATGGCTTGCAGTTTAAACGGACTAACAGTCGGAGACTCGCTTCCCGTCAACATGTTAGAGTCTCCATCTCAGAGGTCGGAGATTTTTCTCTATCACAGGTCAGTTTTGTTGTGTCACCTTCTTTAGATCATGTCTCGCCGGCAATAGATGTATAGTTGGTACTCACATGGTCGGGAAGACATTTATGAAATTTCTCCTATTGGCTCACAGAGATGACTTGCCATTACAATACTCCCCCATGTCTGAAGACTCGGACGAAGCGAGATTCTGCGAGGACCCAACAGCAACTAGCACTACTAGCTCATCGCAACCCGAGAGCCGCCCTACTAGTCCGGTTTCACCGTACCGGTACCAAAGACCTCTTACCTCGACAAACCCGTCGTCAACCATGATGAGCACCAGTGCGGCGAGTCCACAGTCTCGGCCAAGAGGATCAGACACGGAAGGAAGGTTTCCGTCATCCCCTAGCGATATCTGCCATTCGGGTGACCTGAGGAGAACCGCTCTACTCAGGTCTGTTCAAATGAGAACACAGCCCTGTGGTTATCCTTCAAGTGAAGACAAGGTGTGCTTTAAGGCTATGGAAGAAGATACAAGTTATAACAGCGGGGAGGAAGATATCTCTTACACTCAAGTCTCGAGTAAGAGCAAGTCTTGTAAAGCATTAGATATGAGACTATGTGATGATAGGTGATTGAAATGAAACTAAGCCTTTTCACTACCAATCGACGATTTCTTCTAATGTTCCACATTATTAGTTTGCATATATAGTGCCGCTTCACATCATCATTTGAAGTCGTTTCAGAACAAAACGCTTCAAATACATTGGGTTAAGAGGCCACATCCAGTTTTGTGAGAATTTGGTTTCCTACTTCAACACTAGACAACAAGCAATCACTTGAGATGATGACACAAAAACTTTTTTTTTGTACCACAAGATTTATTCGACCAAAGCGAAATCTTAAAAGGCTCTTGACCGGTAGCTTAATTTCATTAGATAGTAGGACGACCCAATATTTTGTGTGTGTTCAGTTATTTTTTAATTAAATTAAGAATTTTGGCGTTGAAATGGTCAAACATTCTTAAGCATATTTCAAGATTCTTAACGTACGGTTAATCCTTGTATAAATCAAGAGTTTACATACAATGAATAAAGAGTTACAGATTCAGAACATTTGTGAATTATTTAATCAGAAGTCAGATTCAGAAGATATGGCATCTTAACCGTAACCCATTAAGTTTCCCGGTTTAATATCGGGTTGGTTTTAACGGATATAAGAAAAAGTTACAGCGAGGTAATACCTGTGAATGAACAGAGAAAAGTCGGTTTGTGAGTAAATACTGACAGTGACGCTTTCCCCTTTATCTACCGTTAATGTTCGTTACCGTTAACGGCGCATTTTAGCGTGGACATAAACGCTCGCTCAAGTGCGCCGCACGCTTCTCTTCTTTTTGTCGCGCATTCAAAAACCGAAACGATCAGAAGAGAATATTAAATAAACATTTGGAGTAAAGAATTAAAATTAATTTCTGAAAAGAGAAAAAGAGAGAGAGAGAGAGAGAGAGAAGCTTCCACAGTACTAAAAGCGGAGTGAAGCCGACGAAATCTCCGCCAACGGAAAAATTCCGAGTGCTCAAATCGTTGGCGGCGATGGCGGATTCTCTGGCTTGGGCTCCGTTTACTGGGGCAAATATATCTCCCTCCTCGGATCCACCCTCGAAAACCCCTCCTCGGGTTTAAGGTCTTTACGTTTTGTTTCGTCTTCCGCTGCGAGTTTTGTGCAGATCTGAGGGCTCCCAAGCCAACGGAGAGTGTCGGTGATGTCGATTTTCTCACTCACGAGCTTTGCTGGTAATTCATGCCTATCAATCTCCCCAAGCGTACTTGTTCTCGATTTTAAGGAGTTAGTCTATGTTATGAAATCGGAGGAAAAAAAAAAAAACTGGTGGTGGTTGTTTTGGATTTCTATTTTTGTCTGGTACGGGAAGAGGAGAAAGTTAAGCCTATGGGACCTATTCATATCTAGTTACTTTGTTTCTATATCTGTTAGGTCACTGATTCTTTTTGGGAAAATCAAGCCACGATATAGATTTGGAATGTGGTATGGGTCTAAACTGATGCTGCTCAAGATTTCGTTTCTAAATATGGTACACACGTAAATTTGGATTACCCAGGCTGAAAAAGCAAAGTAAATTCTAATTGATTTTTGAACTGTATATACACCCTTGTATGTAAGTAGGAACTGGTTATAGATTATTGCCTCAAGACATTATTTTTTCAGATCCCTGTAGAAATAGTTGCAATTTTACCCATCACATCACAAGTACCTAGCTCTAGTCTCAATGTTTCTAATGATATATCAATTACAGGTTCACAAGGAGATGTCGTAATAATGGTGTTAAGAGCGTTGGTTTCTGTATACTGTGCGGTTTCTCTCGTCAATGTTCAGTCAGCTGATGCTCTACTGCCAGTATCACCAACTTTGTCACCTTCAACTTCACTAGGTATCCTTGACCTGCCCCTACCAGCTGAGTTTCACAGAAAGCATTTGGCACCACAAGAGTCAGAAGCACCTCGGCATCCTCCCCGCTATAGTCGTTTGGTCGCTTCTGTTCACCCCCCTACCAGTACCGGCTCACATTTCTCCAAGCCATCAATGCAAAGGAGTGCCCAGTCTCCTGGAGCCGGCTTGGTTGATATTGCTCCAACACAGTCTAGCAATGGTGCCCTTCCTGATGACTTAATTCAGCCACCTTTGTCTCCCTCCATTTCAAGTAAGACGTTATTATCCCATCTCATGCTTGCCTTTGATAATATCCAAGTTCGTACTTGAATTCCCATTTTTCACCTCTCCTTCTTCACGGATTTGGTTTTGAATTTAAGTTTAATCAACATCAGCCCTTTGAAAAAATAATTGAAGTGTAAATTTCCCTTTCATTTCCCATTTTGATGTGACATTAGACTAGCATAGTTGACACGCGAGTTGAGTACTCATGTGTGTTTATTTTCTCCTTCTTCCAGATTGTTGCAAACCAGACATGGTGCTGAAACGAGGAAGTATTGGTTGCCACTGCGTGTATCCTATAAAGCTGGATATCCTTCTCGTGAATGTTTCAGATACTCCTAGCTGGAATATGTTCCTGAATGAATTTGCTTCCCAGCTTGGTCTCCTACCTCACCAAATCGAGCTGATCAACTTCTATGTTCTAAGCTTATCAAGGATGAACATTTCAATGGATATCACACCTCATTCTGGAATTAGTTTTTCAGCAAGTCAGGCAGCGGCAATAAACTCTTCGCTTATCAGCCACAAAATTCAATTTAGCACTACTTTGGTGGGAGACTACAAACTTCTAAACCTTACCTGGTTTGAGGCCCCTGCCCCCTCTCAAGGTACACTTGTTTCTACAATTGTATTAGGGAAAGCAATAGCCCGATCTTAATTCGAGTTCGCATCCATCGTTAAAAGTTTAATGACGTTCACAAGCAAGTGTATCATATTTTTGTTACTGAAAGGAAGCTTTAAGCTTCTTATCTTAGGCTGATCTAGTTTTTTGTTGTTAACAAAATAGCCAATAGCATTTTCTTCTTCACTACTTTTTCTGAGTATAGCACCATGATTCCTTACATGTGTATTAAGACCTATCTTAATCGGTTTGCAGCACCTTTAGTGGCTTCTTCACCTCAAAAAGTACCATCACAAGGATCATCGGCCACTACATCAGTGAGTTCACCCGGAAAAAGGAGGCACCCCAATCTTATTCTTATCTTTGCTGTGGCCGCTGGTGTGCTTATCGTTGCCATAATCTCTGTGCTTATTATTTGTTCATGTGCACTCCGAGAAGAAAAATCTCCTGACCCTCACAAAGAAGCTGGTATGCATTTTCAAGGCTTAAACCCTTTTATTTTAGGTGGATTTCAGTTCAGAAAATAAAGCCCGCATTTGAAAGTTAGCACGTGTAGGGAATACATAAAGTTTCCACGGTTCATGTCTTTTATATTAAGTGGTAAGTAGTGTCTTTTTTTTTTTTTATCAAGACTAGAACTATTATTTTGCATGACTAAAAGCCAACCAACCATAGGCATCAGACAAAGGAAAGTGAAGAATGAGGAATGTTTCTTGTCAACGTTACCAGTGTGATTATATTACTTTATCAAATCCTCGCGATTAATCTCAAGTTCATCTTCGTCTTCTTATATAAACTTGATCACATCGTTCTTCTTTCAGTAAAACCGAGGAACCTGGACCCTGATTCAGTAGGGGGGTCTCTTCCCCACCCAGCAAGTACACGATTTCTGTCATATGAAGAACTCAAGGAAGCAACTAGCAATTTCGAATCTGCCAGCATTCTAGGGGAAGGTGGGTTTGGCAAGGTGTACAGAGGCATCTTAGCCGATGGTACTGCCGTAGCGATTAAGAAGCTAACAAGTGGAGGACCACAAGGCGATAGAGAATTCCAAGTGGAGATTGATATGCTAAGCCGTCTCCATCATCGTAACCTTGTAAAACTTGTGGGTTACTATAGCAGTCGAGATTCTTCTCAGCACCTACTTTGTTACGAGCTTGTGCCAAATGGCAGCCTCGAGGCTTGGCTCCATGGTAATATTCTCTCCACTTGCCTTGCTTCCTATATTAAGAGCAAGCAGTAGTATGATCCACCCGAAAGACTGTCAGGGAAATATATCTCACAAGAGCGATTTATTTATGATGCTTCAGGGCCTCTTGGGTTGAACTGTCCTCTTGACTGGGACACCAGAATGAAGATCGCACTTGATGCTGCAAGAGGCTTAGCTTACCTTCATGAAGACTCGCAACCATCTGTTATACACAGAGATTTTAAAGCCTCTAATATACTCCTTGAGAACAACTTCAACGCAAAAGTTGCAGATTTTGGTCTAGCCAAACAAGCTCCTGAAGGCAGGGGTAATCACTTATCTACCCGTGTCATGGGCACATTTGGGTGGGTTTTTCATTTCTCTTGAAAGTGCTTCCACGAAACTGTGATCCACCCATTAAAATTCGGAATCCGCTTTTTTTTTTCAGGTATGTGGCGCCTGAATATGCAATGACCGGACACTTACTCGTCAAGAGTGATGTTTATAGTTACGGCGTGGTCCTTCTCGAGTTATTGACCGGTAGAAAACCTGTGGATATGTCACAACCTTCAGGCCAAGAAAACCTTGTCACTTGGGTAAAAGTTCTTTGCCTTGTTTAGCCTCTTGTCTCTCACTGACATCATTTTCTCAAGTCTTGAATGAATGTAAAAAGTGTTGATTTTGGATGCAGACAAGGCCAGTTCTTAGAGACAAAGACCGGTTGGAAGAACTAGTTGATTCAAGACTCGAAGGAAGATACCCAAAAGAAGATTTCATAAGAGTCTGCACAATCGCTGCCGCTTGCGTGGCTCCTGAAGCTAGCCAAAGACCAACGATGGGTGAAGTGGTTCAGTCACTTAAAATGGTTCAACGGGTTGTTGAGTATCAAGACCCGGTTTCTAACAAAGCTCGTCCTAACCGGAGACAGTCATCAGCTACGTTCGAGTCAGAAGTAACTTCTTCCATGTTCTCTTCTGGTCCTTATTCTGGTCTAAGTGCCTTCGATCATGAAAATATCACTCGAACAACTGTTTTCTCTGAAGATCTTCATGAAGGCCGGTGAAGAAACAAACATGGCCTCCTTCTTTATTCTTAATCTCACTTATTTTTTTTTGTTTCGAGCAGGGGGGAGAGTTTGGGACATTATTACATGCTCTTTGGGGTTTGAACTTTGAACATTGGATTCTCCTTTATTGGAGAATTAAAATTTTGTATATATATAATGTCACTTATTTATTTCTTTATATATAACAACAATATTTACCATAATTATTATTATATCTAAATTTGATTTATTAAGGCCCATTATAAGAAATTGAAGATATTCAAATGCTCAACGTATATGGGCTATTAATTTAATAAGGCCCATTCTAAGAAATCTCGTCCGTCGGGTAAAAAAGAAGAGAGGGAGAGAAGAAAAAAGAAAAAAAGAAAAAATATATATAATTAGTATGCACTGCTTTCCTTGTATGTATCCATCCCCTTATTCGCCTTCCAGTCCAACACTCCGTTCGTTCCTTCTCAAATCCGATTGTGGAAAAGCAGAGAGTTCGAGTGGGAGAGAAGCGGAAGGCTCGAAGGAGACATCAATGGTGACGGATGATAGCGACTCCTCTGGGAGAATCTTGGTCAGATTTACCTTTCAATCTCCTCTTTTTTCTTTTGCTTGAAATCATATCTAAATTTGTTCGTGATCGTCTTTGTTTCTTCGTGGAATCCGTTCGAGTGCATCAAACTATATCCGCTCTCTCGTTTTTTTGTTTTGTTTTCCTCTTTAATCGAATAATCACGATTTGTTAACAGCCTTGTGTTTAGTGTTGGAGTTGATGGATCTTATATGATTAGTGCCTTTAGAATTATACTTTGTTTTTGATGTCATTCGTGGAGAATTATTGATCCATTGCTGCTCGGGTTATAAGGTTATTGCCCAATGATCCATTGTTTTTGATCAATTCGTGGAGAATTATGTGGTTGTGTGAGAGCTGTTTTTAATCTAATTATGGAAATGTTTTCTTATTTTTCTTCTCAGTCTGTGTGTTCTGAATGTTTTACCATTTTTGTTGGGGTTCTAAATAGAAGTCCCATGTAGATGATGATGATGATGCTAATCGTCTGGAGGGTTTAAAGGACAAGTTGACTCAGCTTAAAAGGAATATTCAAGGAGAAAGAGTTAGGTCTGTTAAAGTAAGGGATCCTGATGTTCTTGACTAGTTATACCCATTCCTGAATGTTCAATAATCATTTATTGAAAAGATCCTCCTGGAAAATGCAGGAAAAATTCGAGAGTAACAGAAAGAAAGTGGATCTTCATGTTTCTCCCATTTCATCAAGCGCAGGGGATATTGGAAATAGCAATATGATTTCTCTGAGGATGGAAAAGCCACTCTGCAAGTTAAATGGTTTTCCTCATGGGGTTGGAGATAGAGACTATGTTCCTACCAAGGATGTTATATCAACAAGTGTCAAGCTTCCGAGTGCTGAGAGAATACCGCCATACACTACCTGGATATTTTTGGACAGGCATGCTTTTTTTTTTTTTTTTTTTCATTCTCGTCTATAACTAATTAGATACCCTTGAGTACAGTTTTCGTATTATATGTTGTTCCGCCTTCTCAAAATATCCCTTAACAATGCAGAAATCAAAGAATGGCTGAAGATCAGTCTGTGGTTGGTCGCAGACAAATCTACTATGATCAGCATGGTGGGGAGACACTAATATGTAGCGATAGCGAGGATGAGCCAGAACCTGAGGAAGAAAGACGTGAATATTCCCAGGGTGAAGACTGCGTCATATGGTTAGTTATGCAGAGAGGGTGAATTATGGACTGTTATTGGTAATTTGGTATACTTATCTTCATATTTGGAGGAGGAAAGAAGTATCTGGGTGGAACTTATAAATCAATGAATCGCATTTGTTGATGCCAAAGATAGATGACATGACATCTATCGTGTTCATGTGAAATTTCATTCTGTGAAGACTCTGCATTAGCAATAGGTTTGAATATAATCTCCCAATATATGAATGTCTTAATAACTGTTTGAGTTGAATTGGCAGGTTGATTGGGCAGGAGTATGGCATGGGTGAGGAAGTGCAGGATGCTCTCTGCCAGTTCCTCAGCTTAGATGCTTCAGATATTCTGGTGTAGTTTTAGCCACCCTGTTCTTGTGGTTTATCTGATGATGTGTTTCTGGTTTTCCTATTCTTCTTTAGGAATGGTGTTTGACATTCCTTTCTGCTGCAGGAAAGATACAATGAGCTCAAGTTGAAGAACGAACAGAAAGTTGAGAACTTCTCTGATTCAGGATTGAAGCTGGGAATATTTCTGGAAAAAGGCCTTAGTGCTGCTCTAGATTCGTTCGATAATCTTTTTTGCCGTCGTTGCTTGGTACTTGGATCGCTCTTTTGTGACAGAGAGATCATGAATTACTATGTCTTTGTTAATCATGTTTATCCTTATTTTATTACAGGTATTTGACTGTCGTCTGCATGGATGTTCTCAGCCTTTAATTAGTGCTGTAAGCTTGAACCAGTCTTTACTCTCTTTAGTTATATTGCTTACGTTTCAGTGAATAACTTAACCGGAGAACATTGGTTGACAGAGTGAAAAGCAGCCTTATTGGTCTGATTATGAAGGTGATAGGAATCCCTGCAGCAAACATTGTTACCTCCAGGTCTATCTCTCTCTGTCTCTTTACTCGCTCACTGATACGCGAAAATTCGTAGCAAAGCATGAAATGATTTTAGTTTAGTGTATTACCTCAATACTATTATTTAAACAGTAAGATCAATTTTGTCATATATATCCTGAAATAGGTTGTGGTTTGGAATATATGCGTCTGCTAGAGTAGTGATCTTTCATCATAGTTGTACGAGTGCTAGTCTTGTTTATGTATGAGTTTCTCTTGGAACAGAGTTTAAATCACAATCCTTCTTATACTAATGGTTATAGCTCAAGGCGGTCAGAGAAGTACCAGGAGCAAGCAGTAATTTTGCATCTCAAACGGAAGACAAATCTTCAGAAGAGGAATGCAGCAAGGCTGTCTCCTCTGATGGCCCTCATGATGCTGGTGGTGGTTCCAAGAATTTAGATTCATCCTCTGGTGTAGAACAAGACCATGAAAGTAGGGGAAAGCGTGAGGTCCGGAATCTCGAAGACTCCAGTGATCTGCCTAATTTATCAAACAAGAAACAGAAGACTGCAGCCTCAGATGCAAACATGTCATTTCTTGATTCTATTCCTAGCTTAGATCGTACATTGGCTAGCACAAAGAGTGATCAAGGTGGAACAGCTGATACAAACGAAGTAAATAGAGACTCAGTAGCTGATAAACAAGAAGTAGCTGAGCTTATTCCAGACAAGTTGGTCCGTGATGGAGGTTCCTCAGTTTGTCAGCTAGAGCTTGGTAGTGGAAACGGAACAATAATTATTGGAGAAATGTCTGAGACAAGTCAACCATCTACAGAGTGGAAGCCTATTGAGAAGGATCTTTACTCGAAGGGAGTCGAAATCTTTGGGAGGAACAGGTAAATTGGATCTTGTGTAAGTTATTGTCTTCTAAACAAAAAACACGTATTGACGCCTGGTATGTTTTTGCCCATGCTGTTTCAGCTGTCTTATTGCAAGAAACCTGCTTTCTGGCCTGAAGACATGCCTAGATGTGTCCAGTTACATGCGTGAAAACGAAGTTTCAGTTAGTCGAAGATCTAGCACTCCGAATTTGCTGTTGGATGATGGCAGGACAGACCCAGGGAATGAGGTAAGCTCTTGATCATCATAGGTTCTTTTTTCTTTTCAGTTTTCTACAGTCTCTACCACTTTGGACATTTCTGTATAGAAAATTTGTTTGTCAGACTGATAGGGTTAGAGATCTAATCCGCACCAAAAAAAAAAAAATCTGATCTGGAAAAGCCAATATTCTTTACTTATTTTTTTTTGGAGCTACATTTGGCAAGATAAAACAGTAGTTGACTGTAAGTTGGCTTAGACACGTGGTTATTTTGTTTACGAGGTTCTCGATGTTTATCATGCCATTGTCTGTCAGCATCGTATATTAGCTCATACTGCTCTCTGATTAATACTTTACCTGACAGGATGATGAGGTGCCTCCAAGGACAAGATTGTTCCGTAGAAAAGGCAAAACCCGGAAGCTGAAATACTCTACAAAGTCTGCTGGTCATCCATCTGTCTGGAAAAGAATAGCCGGTGGCAAAAACCAGTCGTGTAAGCAATACACACCGTGTGGATGCCAGTCAATGTGCGGGAAGGAATGCCCTTGTCTAACTAATGAAACTTGCTGCGAGAAATATTGCGGGTATGCCAAAAGAATCAACGTGACAATGAGGCAAATTCAGTAGCGTTTTTAACCCATGGGTTTGATTTGATTCAGGTGCTCAAAAAGTTGCAAGAATCGTTTCCGAGGATGTCATTGTGCAAAGAGTCAATGCAGAAGCAGGCAGTGTCCCTGCTTTGCTGCTGGGCGAGAATGCGATCCAGATGTTTGCAGAAATTGCTGGGTTAGGTAGTCCATTTAAACCTAAATCTTTTTGGATGTTGCCGTACACAGATCAAAAGTCCATTAGTTTTGGTAACTAATTTTACAAAGAGTTGCTCATATACTCAGTTGTGGAGATGGCTCTCTTGGGGAAGCACCAAGACGCGGAGAAGGCCAATGCGGAAACATGAGACTTCTCCTGAGGCAACAACAGAGGGTATATATATCGTCAAATCCGCGTATTTACAAACAAATTGATTTCATTGTTGACAAATCTATATTCTTGTGCCAGATCCTCTTGGGCAAGTCTGATATTGCTGGATGGGGTGCTTTTCTAAAGGTAAGCATGTGAATGTCGTCTTCCTAGTTAGCATATCTCCTTATCTCTGTCTGTTAACTAATCTGATGGTCAGAACTCGGTCAGCAAAAACGAGTATCTTGGAGAATACACTGGCGAATTGATCTCACACCGTGAGGCGGATAAGCGTGGGAAAATATACGACCGGGCAAATTCTTCCTTCCTCTTTGACTTGAATGATCAGGTGACTAGTCTCTCACCTTCACTGGCAAGTTGAAATGTGTACTCATCATAAGTAAGTTTTTTTATTATAAATAAATATTTCTGTAGTACGTGCTGGATGCTCAACGTAAAGGAGACAAGCTGAAATTTGCCAATCACTCAGCGAAACCCAATTGCTACGCCAAGGTACTAGAAAGCTTTGTGGAGTAGACACTTGTCTCTACAGATCCAAAAGGTATATGTGTAAAGGTTATGGGTGTTTGTGTAGGTGATGTTTGTGGCAGGAGATCACAGGGTCGGCATTTTCGCAAACGAACGGATAGAAGCGAGTGAGGAGCTTTTCTATGACTACAGGTATGGACCAGACCAAGCACCCGCTTGGGCTCGCAAACCCGAAGCCTCCAAGAAAGATGAGTCAGCCATTACTCATCGTAGAGCCAGAAAGCACCAATCCCATTGACTCAATACAATTAGTAATTCAGTGTCAATTCGTTTTTTTCTGGATTATCTTCTAGTTAACCAGACAGGAGGACAGCTTAATAGATTTATGATTTCTTGCCTTTTATTGTAATAACAAATTCTAGATTAATACAGTAACAAACACATCCCTGGACTAAATCTTGTAATCGAAATCGAATGATTGTTAAAATAAACTCTGACTACAAAATGATAAAAATAGACGAGAGAAACGAACGAATTTAAGCAATATCCACTAAACCGGTTTCCGGTTCTTGGAACACAGCTCGGACCAACCAAGACGTATAGTTGGAGTCCGTTTCCAGTTTCTCTCACCATGAACTCTGCTCATCCTCTTCATCCATCAGTTGATTGATCGGATCCGCTTTCAGTTAGGAAGAAAAAAATGGCTACGGAGGCGGCTCCGATGGACGAGAAGGCCAAGAGAATGAGAGATCTACTGTCGAGCTTTTACGCTCCGGATCCTTCCCTCTCCACGAGTGCTTCTTCGATCAACGCCTCCTTCGACAACATCAACAGCACTTCGTTCGATGCTGATCACTACATGGATCTCATGGTTAGTCTTTGTCTCTCGTCCTTTCTTTTTGCGTGAATCGACCTCCATTTCTTGCAAATGGTATCAGTTTTTCTGTTGATTCGGCTCCTTTTACTCCATCTCAGGGGTTGCTTAGAAACTTAGAATAGGTTAACCTACTTTTCTCAGTTGCTAGTTTAAGCTAGTTTAAACTTAGAATAGGTTAAGCTAGTGTCTCCTGGAGCGTGAGAATAGTTGCTAGTTTTGAATCGGATGAAGTTTGTAGCAATGAAATTCTCCTAGCCGGTTTTGCTTGTTTCTTTGCCAAATGTACCAGAGATCTTCCTGAAATGGTTGATGATGATAGTTCCTCGCTCAATTTGGGTTTATGAGGTTTCTCTTTAGTGATTGAGAAATCCCCCAAACATTCTGGTGGCTTGTATACAGATTAAAAAGTCTAATCTGGAGGTGCTTCTGCAAAGACATGTTCAAATGGCTGCCGAGATTAAGAATCTCGACACAGACTTGCAAATGCTTGTCTACGAAAACTACAACAAGTTTGTCAGTGCAACAGATACCATCAAAAGGTGCTTGTAAATATATCGTTTCAGGCTTTTTTGCACCGCTCAGGGATATATGTGTATACTAACTTCAAAATGTTTGCTTCTTTCGCCCGGTATAGGATGAAGAGTAACATTTTTGGGATGGAAGGGAATATGGATCAGCTTCTTCAGAAGGTGTTTTGTGGACAAAATGAAGAACTTGTAGCTTTTTATGTTTTCGACTTAACCTTCTATGACTGCTGCAGATAATGTCAGTGCAATCAAGGAGTGATGGGGTCAACACTTCTCTTTTTGAAAAGAGACAACATATAGAGAATCTGCACCGGACTCGTAATCTTCTTCGTAAAGTTCAGGTATGTAATCAATCTTTGCTCCTATGCTATATTCTATTTTTGGCATTGTTGTGCCACCTGATCATTATAACAGTGGTATGCTGCGTGCTATTGTGTGAATTTACTCAAAAACTTGTTTTTTTGTTGTAAAAAAAAAGAGCAGTTCATTTATGATTTACCTGCAAGACTCCAAAAATGCATCAAGTCAGAAGCATATGGCGATGCTGTCAGGTTCTATACTGGAGCAATGCCAATTCTCAAGGTTTATATCTGTCCTCGGATTAACTTCCCATTTGTTGTTATATCATTTTAGTGATAATGGGGCATTTTTCTTTCTTAATATATATATATATATATATATATATATATATGGAGGTCTTTTTTTTGACGAAAATTATATCTCTTTCTGTTCAGGTATATGGTGATACATCATTCCAAGACTGCAGACGAGCTTCCGAAGAAGCTATAGAAATCATCATAAAGAACTTGCAGGTGTAGCTTTTGGTCCTCGTAGTCTATGGTAGTTTGAATTAATAGAAGTCTACGTACTGGTTTATTAAACAACAGATAACTGGTCTTTTTTCATTTTGTTTGTTATTTCTTTGAATTCTTGGTGCGAGAAACTTAGTTTGTCTTTTCCAACAGACGAAGCTATTTTCAGATTCAGAATCCATACAGGCGAGAGCTGAAGCTGCAGTGCTTCTTAAGCAGTTAGATGTCCCTGTTAGTTCTTTCTCTCAGCTCAATTATCTGTGAATCTGTTTAAGCATCTATAATTTGAGCTACTTGGAAAGTTCGAATGTTCATAATCCGTTATATGCAACTGGATTTTTTTCTTCATTGCATAGACGTATCAACTGGTTGCTGTGACATATATTTGGATTGCACGTCCTGCAGGTTGATAGCTTAAAGGCCAGGTTGTTGGAAAAGCTGGAACAATCTCTTGATGGTCTTCAAATAAAGCCTGAGGAGGCAAGTAAACTTGCAGAGCACAATGATTCATCTAAGGATGAGGAAAGCAATAACCAAGGTCCTGTTAAAATTCATGAGGTAAAACATGAACTATGCCACCTCCTCGCGTCTTGAGTTTCTGATGATTGCATGTTGGAACACAGAAATACTGAGTGTATTTGCTAATCACCTTGAATATCATCAATGGATTTTTTTCTCATGAGCCATCAGATTGAGAAGTCTTTTCTTCTACTTATATTGTTCTGTCAGATTTTTTTTAGTTTTTTTCTGCACTTTTGATTTTTTAATGTATGCCCTCTTTCTTTGATAGGACGCTGTACGTGGATTTTCTGAGGCCATGCGCGCTTACAGAGAAATATTCCCTGACTCAGAAGAAAGACTTTTTAAACTCGCAAGAGCCTTAACAACGATGTAATGTTACTTTTTTTTATACATTTATCCATAAACCAAGATTTTGTTTGCGTCTGACCTGCAGAATTTCTAATATGCGGTTATTAGGCACTTTGAGAACATGGAGGTGTATATAAGAAAACGGGTATCCGCAGCAGATTTTCTTGGAATTTTCCGTGAGTGCAGTGGTTTTCCCCGTGCTGTTGTCTCTTTACTTGTATCTCCTTCAACGTTACTTCCCTTTGCCTCTGGAAGCTTGGATTGAATCAGTCTTGAAGTTTTATGTCTTGTCTGACTTCTGTTGGACGCAGGAGTTATATGGAAAGATGTGGTACTTATGGACGAGGTGCTACCTGAGGCTGCACTCTCTGATTTATCTGCAGAGGTGCTCCTTTAAATTGGTTCTCTGGCACTCTTCTTTTTGTTATGATGAGTAGACCTTACGTATGTTAACTAGAACTCATCATTTCAGGCTGCCCAGGTCACTCTTAAGCAATTTGTTGCGAAGACGTTCTCTCATCTTCAACAGGATATATCAGGTTCGATGTTTTTTAATATCTACAGGATTTGGAATATCTTAGTGTGGTAAATATAGAGAATGAGAATAGCTAGAATAATTCATATTACGTCCTGTGACATGGTCTTTTTGATAAAGGGAAGGGGACAGCAAGTGTGTAAGAGTAGATTAATTTCTTGATGAAGTTTAGTCTTGGAAGAAATCAGAAGTTAAATAAGGTCTCTATACGTGGCAGATACTCTCTTGCAATTAGATATCAACCAAAAGGAAGTAGTTGACGGGGAGATATTGAATGTTGTCCTTGAAGCTAGCAGAAAGGCAGTTCTTCAAGGCACCGCAGATTTATTTCAGGCAGATTCCTTCTTCTGTTATTTATGATAATAAAAAAAAAAAAATTTTGGCTATCATTTCCTCTGTACAAATTCCATGCTCATAAACTTTAGATATATTTTTGTTTCAGGACTTCCGTCAGCTTCTTGACGAAGATACTGGAATGTTTGTCAAGATGAAGAACTCGCTCATTGGTTGGATTCAGAAAGGATTTCAAGACTTCTTCACGTCACTTGAAGCTCACTTTCTAGTGCTTTCAGGAAAAACTAGCTCATCGAACGAGACTGAAGGCTTGGCGGAAGGAAAACCGAGTGAGAGAGTTCATGCTGGACTCATCCTTGTACTGGCGCAGCACTCTGTCTTCATCGAACAAAAGGTCATCCCGAGAATCACTGAGGTAACGAATCTTACACACCTGGTTTGATGTAAAAAAAAAACTAGCGGAATTGAGAAATTCCATATGTTAATTCAGGAAATAGCTGCTTCCTTCTCTGGCGGAAACTCCCAAGCATTTGAGAATGGACCTGCTTTTATTCCAGGAGAACTTTGCCGGGTCTTCCACGCAGCCAGCGAGAAAATTCTCCAGCATGTATGAATCAAGAACTCTCACATGTTTACAAAGAACTTCAACTAACTGAATCATTTCATATTTCAGTACATAGACACCAGAACACAGAAGATATCGATTGTACTAAGAAAGAGGTTCAAGACACCAAACTGGGTTAAGGTAATTGCAGTGGTCAACGTGTGACCAATCTTCTTAAAGGAGCAGTGTTCACCAGTCATTGTTTTCTAAAAAGATTCTAAATATTCTGCAGCACAAGGAGCCACGAGAGGTTCACATGTTTGTGGATATGTTTCTTCAACAGGTTCGACAACTATTCAAATCTTGAAAGAAAATATAACGAAAGAAGATGCAACAACTGACTTTCTTTTTTTGGACTTGGGGCTTTGTTTGCAGTTGGAAGAAGTTGGTAAAGAAGTGAAACAAATTTTACCTCAAGGGACTTTCCGTAAGCACAAGAGATCAGATAGTAACGGAAGCAACACTACAACCTCATCACGGAGCCATACACTCCATAACGATAAGATGGCACGGTCGAATTCTCAGAGAGCTCGAAGCCAGCTTTTCGAGACACATCTTGCAAAACTGTTCAAGCAAAAAGTAGAAATATTCACAAAGGTTGAATTTACACAGGTAAGAAACAAAACAAAACAAAATACTAGGGTTCCGCTTCATGTCCTGTTCTGATCTTTTTGCTTTGCTTCATGCTAAAATTGTCCTAACTTGCAGGAATCCGTTGTTACGACAATAGTAAAGCTCTGTCTGAAGAGTTTGCAAGAATATGTTCGGCTCGAAACGTTTAACCGGAGCGGGTTCCAACAGATTCAGCTCGACATTCAGTTCCTAAAAGCTCCTTTGAAGGAAGCAGTCGAGGACGAAGCTGCAATTGACTTCTTGCTCGACGAGGTGATTACACCAAAAGCTTCTCCCTTGTATTTGTGTATTTTTATTTGGTTTATGTTTTAAAAGGATCTGTGTCTCGCTTTTTTTTGCAACTGACCGGACCGTGTTGTGCTGTACTAACAGGTGATCGTTGCGGCTTCAGAGAGGTGTCTTGATGTGATACCGTTGGAGCCACCCATCTTGGACAAACTCATACAAGCTAAGCTCGCTAAATCCAAGGAGCACAACAACATCACTGTTTCCTCTTAAAAATTATAATTCCATAAATAACTCAAAAACAAAGTGTGTGTTGTGTTTTCATGATTCTTTTTGCCATATTTTTTGCTGCTTATTATTATCATCCGTAGGGACAATTAAAAGCAGCAAATTGTTTGTGTATCAAAAACTCCAGTAGTGTGTTACACTATTAAATTACTAATTGTCGTTTATAAGACAAAATGTTAATTGTTGGTGGGGTGTTTTGGAAAATAGAAACCCTAAATTATAAGTAAAATCCTAAAGTACAATTCCATTAAAACCTTAAATTAAAATATTCTTAGTCGGTCGAGTCACAGATATATAACGGAGACGTTTGAATCTTTTTCCAATCAAAAAGCCGAAAGCGATGGCCACTGCGATTTTCTCTTCTCGGTTCGACCACGAAGCCCTAATCCACCGTAATCCTAATTCTCGCCTTAGCCGTCACTCTTACGCCGCTACGACGGCTCCTCGACGATGCAAGCGAAGCCCCACGGCGTCTCAGTCGAGGACGGTGGTTGTATCTCCGGCGCCGCATTCGAATCTTGTCATGGGACAGGTCAAGATCCTGAAACGCGGCGAGACGTTGAGCGCGTTTCGGAGCAAGGAGAGCGGTAGCTGCGTCGATCGAGAAGACACTAAACGGCCTGTTTCGAGGTTGCTCGGCGTCGACCTGCTTGTAGCGTCGGCTAATAGACTTGGGCCCGAACCAGAGATTGTGCAGAAGCAGATCGGAGCTTTCAAACGATCGGAGATTGTCGCCGGAGTTTACGCCGGCGCTGGTTCCTCAGTTTCTCCGCATCCAAGCTCTGTTCCTATTCCATGTTTCTTGGGGAAGAAGAACAAGCTCCTTGTTTAGATCATCCCGATGAAGAATAGGGAAACCCTAAATTTCCTCGCATCCCGAGAAGGAAACGAAACATTTGTTTTGTTTTAACCTCAAGAAGAAGAAGAAGAAGAAGAAGAAAGATGGAAAAATGTCATCTCATTGCAATTTGCAACCAGATCAATGGAGATCTCTCTCTCCAACGCCAATTGCAATTTGCAACCAAATCAATGGAGTCACTTTTTGGATTGTTCATGTGTTTTAATAATTTTCGTTTGTACTTGTCACACATGATGATGATCATCACATCTGTTTTTCCTTACATGGAATAAAATCAAACGTAGAAAGCTTTGATTTTTTTTGTTCTGAATTTTAGAAAGAAAGACAAGAAACTAGACTAATGATTTGTCTCATTGTTGCTCTCTGCGTCAAGATCAAGATGATGATTTGGTGCAGGCAATACTTTTTTCCAGAACCAATGTTTCGTCCACAAGAGTGTCATCTCTTCAATGGGGACTCCTTTGGTTTCAGGCAACAGGAAGTAGACGAAGATGGTCATCACTGAGACCCAACCAGCGAAGAAGAGGAAGATGCCAAACTTGAACGCACAGAGGAGAGAGAGGAACGCTTGAGCTATGATGAAAGTGAAGAGGAGGTTGACAGCAACGGTGATACTCTGTCCCGCGGAACGAGTCTCCAACGGGAAGATCTCGCTCGGTATGGTCCATCCGAGAGGTCCCCATGACCATCCGAACGCTACAACAAAGAGGCAGATGAAGATGACCACGACGATCGAGTACCCTTTTGATAGCTCTTGCTTGTCTCCGAACTTGAGTCCCAGGATCACTGCCACTATGACTTGGCAGATTATCATTTGCAACCCTCCGCTTATGAGTAGAGCTCGTCTTCCGAGTCTGTCCACTAGTGCTATGGAGACCAACGTCGAGAGGACGAGAACAGCTCCGGTTAACGCCGACGAGTAGAGGGAAGCGTTTCCTCCGAACCCCATTGTCTGGAACAGAACCGGCGCGTAGAAGAGGATGGAGTTTATCCCCGTGAGGATCTGAAACGTTGGCATGAAAATCGCCATGACTAGCTGAGGCCTGTGTCGTCTCTGCAGGATGTTCCTGAACGGGTGCTTGATCGAGTTGGCAAGCTCGCTCGCGTCCACCATGTCCTGAAGCTCGGCGTCGACGTCCTCCGTTCCCCTTAGCTTCTCGAGCACTCGTCTTCCTCTCTCCGTCAGCCCTCTCTCCACCAAACTGTTGGGGGTCTCGGGTAAGAGAAACCCGCCGAGAGTCATGAGCAGAGCCGGAAAAGCAGCCAGACCGAGAGAGAGTCTCCATCCCCAAGGCTTGAGCTTCTGAGTACCGTAGTTGACCATGTTCGCCGTGAAGATCCCAATAGTTGTAGCTAACTGAAACATCATGTTCAAGCCACCTCTCAGGTGCGTTGGTGCCACTTCTGATAGATACAAAGGAACCGCCTGAAAAGCAAAAACAGAACCCAATCATATAATAATTAAGATGAGATTTGTTTGGTTTTATCACAATGTCTTGTCTTGTCTTGTCTTTACCTGGTTTCCAAATCCAATGCCAAAACCGAGCAGGATCCGTCCCGCGAGAAGCATCGCTAGATTCACTGCTCCAGCGTTCAGAGCAGCTCCGATGGAAAAGCTGATTCCCCCACAGACGATGCTCGCACGCCTTCCGTAGTTCCTAGTGATCGGTGAAGCGACAAGAGTCGAGACCAGACCGGCCAAGTAGAGTGAAGACGTGAAAGCAGCTAATCCTTGATTGTCGTATTTGCAGTAATTACTCTCGTGAGCATGCTTCTTCTTCTCATAAACCGTATGGAAAAACTCCTCGAGGAATTCATCCATTGATGTGACTCCTCCTGTAAACAAAACACTCAATTTAGGTTTTCAGATTTTTTGGATCCCAAAGAGGAGGAAGAAGAAGAAGATAACAAAAACCTGAGATTCCAATGTCATATCCAAAGACGGATCCACCAATGGCTGCAACAAGGCAAGCGATGATGACATAGCCAGTGACTTTCCCTTTGTATTGATCTGCTCTTTCCTTAGCCACACCGGTCGGACCAAACGACCCTCCTGCCATTTGCTTCTTCTTCCTCTTCTTTCTCTCTAGTTTGCTTCGCTGAGGGATCTTTTTCTTCTTCTTGGTAATAACTCAAATTTCCAGAATCTGAGAGAAAACGAAATAAAAAATGAAATATTCATTGACATCCTGACGTGGCTCACATTCAGTTTTTTTTTTTTTTCAATTTGAGATTTGTGGTAATTGCGTGAGAATTTGTGTTTGGTAGATCATCCTTGGGTTTTGCCAACATATATAAGACATGTCATTTTGTTGACCTTATCTTCACATATGTTAAAATCTTTTTACTACTGGTTTTGCATGTCTTCATTTGATCTCCGTTACCATTTTTCACTGAAATTTTTTTCCTTTTTTTTTTTGGTCAAAGATCTTCTTGATCATAATATCCTATTTCCAATTATTATTATATCTGAAAAAAAAAAGAAGAGGATTTCTTTTTCAAAACCTTTTTGCCGAATGCCATGTTGGAAAAAGTGCTCCTTCTTTCCACTTTTGATTCCGATCTTATTCCGTTTAACACCTGGGAAAACACAACAAAATCGTTTGCAAATTCCTTAAGTAATATGAACAGAAAAAATAACAATAATAATAATAATTGATTTTAAACAGAGAGTAAAAGAATCGAGACATGTGATGTGTGAGATTGGTCGGTCGTCGTAGGTTGAAGAAAAACAGACTCAGTCCTGATTCCGGAAGAAATTATTAAGAAGACTTGCAGGAGAAAGAAGAAGATGTGACGATTTTTTGTAGACTGAAAATTATTCAGACTCCATTTGCTATTTATTTCATGAATTTTAATCGCCTACGATGAAGGCGATGTTAAAGATGTTTGTTGACCAAGTTTGATGAAAGCAAAATAAAAAATAAAATAAAATAAATAATAAGTAGAGTCGAAATAGAAGATGAATCACAAATCCGATCAAAAAGCAAAACCTAAACACTAACGGATTCAAAAAGTGAAAGAAAAAGGGGAGAGAGAGAGTGACTCATAACAATGGATTTGAGGAAAGTCTGTAAGAAGAATAACACAAAGTAGTTATCACCGTAAGGAGGGAGATGAAGGTGACTTTTGTCCACATTTGCTTTCTCAAAATGTCAAATTAATCAAACCAATTATTGGATAGCAAGAAGAAAATCAGTAAATTATAAAATGTTGTGGTCAAATTAATCAAACCAATTATTGCCTTATTGGTTAACAAGAAGATCAGTAATTACTAAATAGCAAGAAGATCAGTAACTATTAAAGATCACGAAGATCAGATAACAGCAAAGTGGCTGTAGTTTAGTGGTTAGAATTCCACGTTGTGGCCGTGGAGACCTGGGCTCGAATCCCAGCAGCCACACTTTTTTTTCCTCTTTTTAAATTTTATTTTCGACATTATGCACTTGATCACCGTATCATTAGATCTGGACCGTCCGTTTACACCCCGCCCTTTCTCGTCGCCACTCTCTGTAATTTTCCCGCCTAAATCTCGTCTTCATTTACATCGCTTTGCCGCCGAAATTTCCAGTCACTCGTCGTCATTCCTTTGTGTTGCTCTCTCTCACTCCCTTTCTCGACGACTCTCTCTTCTCTCTAGCCTAATTTTCAACCATGAAAGAGCATGATTTCGAAGCTGACAAAGGTAAAATCTCTCTGCTTGTTCTCTCGATGAACTCCTCCTCTTTTGCTATTCTGTGGTTGTGATTTTGACTTTTTTTTTTCCTGCAGTGCTTGCGAAGGAATTTCTCGCGAATTTCGCCGATGCTAATGGCGGATCTAAGTACTTGGAGATTCTCGTGAGTTTTCTCCTGATTTTGTTTACCAAATTTTATTTTCTAGGGTTTAGCGAATCTCCGTAAATTAGGGTTTTACTCGATAAATTAAACAATGTAATTGAAATTGGTGATTTCATTTACCTCCGTTAGGTCGAATCATTGTATCTATTTTGTTGAATCAGCGTTTTTGGTTATGTGAATGTATCTCTGGGCTACGACGATAATCCTTTATATTTTCCTTCTTTTGTCTCTGCTCTGTGATTTCTGTAGCAAGAAGTTGCAAATCGTAAGATTCGGGCTATTCAGGTCGATCTCGAGGACTTATTCAATGTGAGTTGTTTTTTTTTGTTCTCCTCGTGTTTGTTCCTTTATGGATACTGCAAAGCCAAGTGAAGTGAACTCACTCGTCTCTTTGCCGTTGCAGTATAAGAACGCTGATGAGGAGTTTTTCAGACGGCTGACTGAAAACACCCGCCGATATGTTTCCATTTTCTCCGCTGCTATCGACGAGCTGCTACCTGAACCCACGGAGGCGTTTCCAGATGACGATCATGATATACTGATGACTCAAAGAGCCGAGGATGTAACTGATAATGCAGATGTTTCTGACCCGCGTCAGCAGATTCCTTCGGAAATTAAAAGATTTTAGTAAGTTCATACCGCTCTTTTGTAGCTTCAACGTGTTTTACTTAACTCTTTTGTAGTTTTTTTTTCAAGTGATCTAGTCTATAAGTACGAGAGTTGTTGATTGCTACTGATATAAACTTAGTCGAGGACCCTTTCTTGACTGAATCCGTTTGTTTGGATTCTCTGACGACTCAATTTAGGTTGGATGTTTCTTGCTAATGAAATTATTTTGGTTCAGCGAGATTTATTTTAAAGCTCCTTCAAAGGGACGGCCATCTACTATTAGGGAGGTTAAGGCTTCACACATTGGGCAACTTGTGAGGATATCTGGTATTGTGACTCGCTGCTCGGATGTCAAGCCACTGATGGCGGTTGCTGTGTACACATGCGAAGATTGTGGTCATGAAATTTACCAGGTACCCAACTATGCCTGCCTTATCGTAGTTTTGTTTTGTTATTTATTTTTCTAGCTACTAACTCTGGTTATCTCTCTGTGTTACATGCTAACTCAGGAAGTTACATCGAGAGTCTTCATGCCTTTGTTTAAGTGCCCATCCAGCCGCTGCCGCCTTAATAGCAAAGCCGGAAATCCTATTCTTCAGCTCCGAGCATCAAAGTTTCTAAAGTTTCAGGAGGTTCTGTTCTGGTTGATGGATGTCATTTATGTGAATGTTGCACTGATATCAGATTGATGAGTTAAATAAATTAATTATATCGCAGGCTAAGATGCAAGAGTTAGCTGAGCACGTACCTAAAGGGCATATTCCGAGGTCAATGACTGTTCATCTAAGAGGAGAGTTGACCAGAAAGGTTGTTGTTTTTCTTGTCTTCGGTCTCATACTATTATCGTAGTCTAGTTGTTCTCCTTTCAGAATCAATAGCTAAGGTTGCTTAGGAATAGTCCAAGGTGAAGGTATTATTCGGCTTAAAAGCATAAGTTAAGCTTTTATTGAATAAAAGGGAACATTCTAGCTTAATGGATTCGAAACAGCTCCTAACAGAACAGTGAACACTGCAAGGAATCTAGAAATTTTCATTAGATGCCAAGTAAATACCTTTTTTCTGGTGCAGCTTACCAAATTGAATTTTTTTTAATCACTACTTGCCCTGCAACCAAGATACCTGCCCTGTAATTGTTTTCCATTGCTGTACCGAGACTTGATCAATATAAATTGTTTTTTCAGTGTCACTTACCATAGTAGAATTTTAGTTACTAACTAGATTCCCTTAAACCACCCTTGCAGGTTTCCCCAGGTGACGTTGTTGAGTTCTCAGGGATTTTTCTTCCCATTCCCTACACTGGGTTTAAGGCACTTCGAGCTGGCCTAGTAGCAGACACATATCTGGAAGCAACATCTGTCACTCATTTCAAGAAGAAATACGAGGAGTAAGCCATTGCTACACCTTAACTCTGAAGAAATATCTGATTTAGAAACCTATTTCATGTTTTTGGCATTTGATTTTATGTGTCCACAATATCAGAAAGCATCTTGAGCCTTGACCCTTTTTAATTATGATCTACAGATATGAGTTTCAGAAAGATGAGGAAGAACAGATTGCTCGTTTGGCTGAGGATGGTGACATTTACAATAAGCTATCACGATCTCTGGCCCCTGAGATTTATGGACATGAAGATATTAAAAAAGCTTTGCTTCTCCTTCTTGTGGGTGCTCCTCACAGGCAGTTAAAGGACGGGATGAAGGTGACTCTTGTACTTTATTCTTCTCTTGCAATGTTTCCATGATGTTGCTAACTTTTCTGATAAAACTATATATTCACTGGTTAGAAGCTCTTGTTTATATCCAACTATATCATTTTACCTCTTGCCAGCCACTTGCAGTGTCCATAGTCATCGATCATTGAGTTATGGAGCTTTATAATTTATATTTTGGATACAGATGTTCAGCCCATTCAATAGCACACTACACTTGATAAGAACATTTTTTATTCGTTAAGACAATCAACATCACATGTGCATATATATGTCTGATGAATTCTTTCAGATTAGAGGAGATGTGCATATATGTCTGATGGGTGATCCTGGAGTTGCCAAAAGTCAGCTTCTCAAGCACATTATAAATGTTGCTCCAAGAGGAGTCTACACAACAGGAAAAGGTAGCAGTGGAGTTGGTCTAACTGCTGCTGTCATGAGAGATCAAGTAACAAATGAGATGGTCTTAGAAGGAGGAGCACTGGTGAGATACAATGATTCTTTGATATGGATATTAGTAAATATGATGTCTTGCTAAGAGCTATGTGATTTATAGAACGTTTGAATTTGATACGATTTCTATTCCAGGTCCTGGCTGACATGGGAATCTGTGCAATTGATGAGTTTGATAAGATGGATGAATCAGATCGTACTGCGATTCATGAGGTCATGGAGCAGCAAACTGTTAGCATTGCGAAAGCTGGGATAACCACGTCTTTGAACGCTCGAACAGCCGTTCTTGCTGCAGCCAATCCAGCCTGGTAATTAACTTTTTTAATAATGATGAAAACAAAAATTGTTGTGTGAGGGATAGTTGCGATCAGTTATTAAATCGTGTAACACTGTGTTTATGAAGGGGAAGATACGACTTGCGGAGAACTCCAGCAGAAAACATAAACCTTCCACCAGCGCTTCTTTCAAGATTCGATCTTTTGTGGTTGATCTTAGATCGAGCTGATATGGACAGCGACCTGGAATTGGCTAAGCATGTGCTTCATGTGCACCAGACAAAAGAATCTCCTGCGCTTGGCTTTGAGCCGCTTGAACCTAATATTCTCCGGTAAGTTTTATAACATGCTTCTTGCTTCTGCAGAGTCGCACAGACTTTTAACATGGGCATCTCTGGTTTCTCTAGTGCATACATTTCAGCTGCTAGGAGGTTATCCCCATACGTTCCAGCAGAGTTGGAGGAATACATAGCAACGGCTTATTCCAGCATCAGGCAAGAAGAAGCTAGATCGAATACTCCTCATTCTTACACAACAGTGAGAACGCTGCTCAGCATTCTGCGCATATCCGCTGTAAGTAGAAGTTAAACAAATACAGTAAATGAACTTGGAAGTAGTTGCATAATCTTATGAGTGATTTTGCATTTGTTCTATTAGGCACTAGCAAGGTTGAGGTTCTCAGAATCAGTGGCACAAAGTGATGTGGATGAGGCGCTTAGACTAATGCAAATGTCGAAGATATCATTGTATGCGGATGACAGGCAGAAAGCAGGACTGGATGCAATATCAGACACGTACTCAATCATAAGAGACGAAGCTGCAAGATCGAACAAGACCCATGTGAGCTATGCAAATGCTCTTAACTGGATCTCCAGGAAGGTTAGTTACTTCTTCTTCTTCTTGTTGGTTTCGTAGTAGTGGATGATCATCGATCACTAAGACGAGTGATTTGGATGTAAACACAGGGATACAGTGAGGCTCAGCTTAAAGAGTGTTTGGAGGAATATGCAGCTTTGAATGTTTGGCAGATTGATCCTAACACCTTTGACATCCGTTTTATCTAAATCCTTTTGAGAAATTCAGTAACACCACCAAAAAACACGGATTTTGAAATCAACTATTATGTCTTGTTTTCGTTATGTGTGCTTTCTTAGAGGCGGTACGAA